TATCATCTTTCTCCCTCCATCTGCCCATTTTACTCAGATTTCCCGTGAGTTAGGCTCGCAAGTTCGCCAATTTTCCAAACCTCTGCCTGGGTCTGATAACGAACAATTAAGTGAGCACAACTACGACATACACCACTTAATTTCTCACAAAATTAAACTTAAATATACCTTTTGCCTGCCGAAGGTTCCAAAATTACCAAGCGTTGAGAAAGCACTGCACCTAACGGAAGACACGGCGGGAAGCAATACGTAGTTTTCGATTTGAATGACCAATAAAATTCGCCCCATGACGTAACCCACGCAGAACCACTCTTCCTTGGTCATCCCCAGTTGGAATGCAGTTGCCTCACAACAGAGACACCCCAGTTGTATGCTAGCTGTTGAATAACAGCTGCACTTCAAAACGCACTAATCGCCTTTATTATTGCTGGATAATCACAGCAGGAAAACACTTGGGACATTACTGAGCTTCCTTAGCTGACTTGTCTCGGCTCCTTCCCAGCTGAATCCTTGCTGGCAATAACCAATTTTGTGGCAGCTGATGAGATGCTGCTGTATCCCAGATACAGAACAGTAGGATTATGTCCATACCGCTATTTTCTCGTCTGGACGTGTTAATCTCAGCAGTGACACAGCTGGGATTTAAGAGGTTATGTTCATTGTGTATGTATGTAAAGGAGGAAAAGTCACAGAAATAACCATTATTGACCACCATGCTGAAAGGATTAAAACCGAATATCAAAGCTCTTTTATCTCTTTCTCTGAGGATCCCCAGAAGCTCATCGATGCTCAATCCCTTTCACTGAGTGTGAATCCTTGCCACGGAGAGATTCCTTGCTTATAGGGAAACGCCAGTAGTTTAGGGCCGCCAAGTCGATCCAAAGTATTCCTAAATCTGTCATTTATTCAGATGTAGGATCCCATTGAATTTGGCTCGCACTATTCTCTCAATTCATTCAATTTCCATGACAGGTCAATCTGACTGAGGCTCATCTTCGAGGTCATATAGCAACCCTTAGGACCTGAATTAAAATATGAATGTAAATGATGTAAAACAAGTTTTCCTCATCCAACCATCCGCAATGAAACGTCATTGACCGCAAAAATACGAATTCCAAAAGAGATCACAGGAACTCAGAAGTCTCGCCAAGCCTAAAAGTCATACGGGACTCCCGAGTACCGCTGGGACTGAAAGAATTAATTGAAATCCATTGACACGGTCCAATGGGCGCAAGTGCATCTCCCTTCTCACTTTGGCATGGTTTCGGTCTCAGTCGTAGTTTATAGTTATAAAACATAATTGCTCTGAAGCTGCGTCTGGTGATGATCACTGACTCGTTGCTGCCATTGGTCATTTCAACAGTCTGTACTGGAACGAGAACAAGAGTTTATCTACTCTGCATGAGTTTTACCACCTGACTGAATTAATGGACTGATAGACCAAATCATCTTGAGTCCTTGTTTTGCGATAGTTGCTTCTCCCTGATCACTTCAGTTATCCACCGCAGAAGATGACTGGTTCAAGTGTGAGATGATTTGTTGGGTCCTGTTTTACCCGAGCCTCATTCACCTCATCTGGTATATCCTGGAAATGTCGAAAACTGAACTTTCACAAAGCTACTACGGCGCTGACAGGTGCAATGGGTGCGTGGGATGTAATCACGACTGCTTGCTCCTGACTCGTGTGATGATAGCGGACGCTTTGCAGGGGGTCATGACGGGTGACTAAAAGCCATGGAATTTCTTTTGTCTTGATAGGTATGATGGTGGCGAGGAGGTGTCTGCCCATGACAATGAAGATGAGATTTGACCATCCTTTCCTCTTCTTTCTACTTCTCAAAGCCCAGTCTCCGTCTCTGCTCTTTTCCGGCTCTCTCAATGATCCTACAAGTTCTTACCCATAGACCGATCCTCTTCTGGTTGATCTTCAACAATATTGTGTATCTAAATGTTTCATTTCTCTGTACTGTGTAAATGCTGTATGAAATTCACCTTCGAAGATTGCCATGGTATACGGAAGTGGGATGATTTGTTAATTGGGGTTCATAAAGTTCGAATTTTTATTGAAATTCCACGTGTTTCGTTTGCCGTTGGCGAACTTTCTCTGGAGCAATGGATGGTTCAGAGTGTTTGTATTACTCCTGAAGGAATTTTAAAAAGCTTATTAATGATCCTACTTATTTGCCTCATCATCATCAATAGGATTTCTTGGTAGTACTTTGCATGACGAAATCCCCTTAGCCTTGGAATGGGGGTAGAAAAAGAGGATGCTCTTACAATTTGGGTCAAGATGAGATCATTTTCAGTGATGGATCTGGAACCTTCGCAAGGAGGACTATTAATTGGTGACGACATGGCCTCCCAGCGTTCTAAGATGCCATCCTCAAGACTGCAAACATTTTCCCATGTGAAAGTAAAAAAAAATAACGGAAGCGAGGAAGTGCTCAGGAACTCTCTCGCTCTCTTCACTCAGGAACTCAGAGGAAGGCACTCAGGAACGTGCCTGTCCTTTTGGTTCACTGTCTTTTCTCTGTCTGTTCTCTGTCGTTTCTTGGGCGATCGGCAATACAGTGCGAGACAACAACGATCGGAAACGTTTGAGAGGATCCTACTGGATCTTATGATGTCAATAAAAAATACGTTGTTTCGCACAAATCTAACTTACTTTCCGAGATTCCTAGTCCACTGCGGAATAAATTATTTAGTTTTCGGAGACAGTACCAGGAGGCTTTCAACAGAATGTGATGAGTAGGGAATTGATATGCGAGGATGTTTCAACGAGCAAAGACACCTTACTTAAGAAAAACCTACAGACAGATTTAAGCCTTCTTTTGCAGGTAGTGCAATCGGTACCTGTGAATTTTGAATGTTAAAGGTATCCACAGGCGTCCAACACAGAGCAGCACAAGCTAGAGGTTCAAATATGGTGGCACCTCTCGCAAACTACACTGGAGGAACGACGTAATTCGTTTTTGTGGTGGGAAGAGGTGCAGACCAGTGACTGTCAATACAGTATAGAGATAACATCACGAACCGTGGAAATGTATACAAGGGGCTGGAACGTTCGAAAAGTGGATGTGGGCAGCAAGATAATACTCGACCACAACCCGTTTAACGATGGAAACGCTGCCAGGTTCCTCCACATTCACGATGTAGCCCCGACCTTTCCCAGTCCGGTTAAAATTTCTTTAAACCACTTGAAGAGGCATTACGAGGCAATCACTATAATGGTAATGAAACTGTGAAAGAAATCCATCCTATCATGGCTACATCAACCTAAAGAGTTCTATGCACTATGGTAACGACAAGTGCTTTTCAAATGATTAGCAAAGTTTGATCTTATCGGTTGACGACTGACAATTTTTCTGTCCTTTTGATTAAGCTGCATTAGGGACCTTTGAAAAAATACCAAAGAAAGCCAAGGTCAGGAATTAAGTTTCTCACTCGGGGGGGGGGCACAATTTGTGCACAACTTTGAGCGACTGAGTGTGTTGTCGTTTGCTGTTCCTCAGGATCCAGTGAGAATATTCAGTTCAATAAAATTGTTCGTGTACGAAAGTTAATCACTGTCTTTGTTATACACACCTTCAAGGGAGCCACAAGTGTATTTGCATACATGCATTCAACCTTCGTGCTTCGATAATCGAAGTCTTTCCACGGTTTCCATTTGAAAAGGGGCCTCAAGTCACGAAGGGAGCTCGCATCTTTTTTTCCGTCATACACGCCCTTTAACACGTGGAATGAAGGAAATGACAATGGATATGTGTAAGTTTATTTTCAACCTCGCTCTCACGGAATTGAAATATTGAGACGTCTCTCCTTGTTAAAGTTAATATTTCCATGAAAGAGCGGGTTCACGTGTGGTCATCAGAAATGCCTGTCGTCCGCTTCTCTGATAATTATCGCGGGGAATGAAGATGATGAAGAACGCACGACGTTCCAAACCGGAGATTCCGGAATTCCCTCGCTGAATTTCGTCATCCAGTCCGCTCGATTAATCTCTCATTTAAGTCGCATAGTCGATTCGCTCTGAGAACAAGTCGGCAAACTCGTTTGACACCCATTTTGACACCCGTTCATTCTTTTCTTCTACACTGGCTGACCGTGAGACGTCCGAGAAATTCAGGGTTGTCAGAAGTGAAACCAGAGAGTCTATTGCTGGCAGGTTCAATTTTACAGTGCTATTCACTTGAGTCAGACTTTTTTCACTTGACTCATGCATGAGAAGTGCCCCTAGGATTGGTGTCAAGTAAAAAAAATGCCTGATTTAAGTATACCCCCCCCCCCCCCCCACTGTATTGGTGTATTTAATAGCAGTGCACCTGACAATGTAACATGAGTAAATATGGACCTGCAGATAAAAAAGTGAAAAAAAGGAATGTTCCTCAGTAGTTGATAAGACAATGTCACAAGACCTGACAGCGGAAAGATGAAGACACCGGGTGCGGTGTGAAAATAGGTCACAACGAGAATGAGAAACTTGATTTCGATCGTTTTTTCGATCTCATTTACCTTCCATCCTTTCGACTGCAATCTCTCATGGCATTGCCTATTGTGTCCTTTGAGATGACTCGAGTTCACAGGACGGAAATCGTCATCACTGGAATCCACGAGAGTTCTTGAGTGGAGATAACGTCAAAGAGATGGATTTCTCTAGCAAGAAAGTCATCGGTAGGAGACAGAAGGGATTCAACATCCCTGAAGGACCACGTGTCAGAGCCCTGATGGAGATAGCGACCTGTTCTCTTCTTCCTTCGCCCCTCATAAATTATTTGAATAGTCAGAAAACTGGCTGGTTCTTCTCAAAGTGAATCGACGGTACGTCGATCGAGAGGAAGCACTCTGTCGCCATTTGAAGTGCCTCTTCACGGGCTCAAAGGTCATTTACCCAGATTTCATGGTATTATGTTGTTTGCGGTTCTGCTGAGGAGGGCATGGAAGGAATGAGGTCGTTATCAGGAGATAAGAAAGGTCGCGGATAATTGATTTACCAGAGGACTGGTAGTTCTCAGGATGAAGGGTGCGGCTAGACGATCCGCTCTCTTTCGGGTCTCTTCCTCCTGCATCCTCTTCTCCCTCGTCTTTCTCTTTTATTGGTTCTTCTTGGGACCTGATGAGTCTCTTGGTGAGTCCACTTTCTTGGCCATCGTGAGGCATTCCCGTCTGTGTTATCTGTCGGCAGTGTTGGGCGATAACGAAGTCAGACTAGCTCGTTACAGTAGCTAGTTACACATTACGGTAATTTCAGTGTTAACGAGTTACTTTGCAGGGACTAGTAACGGAGCAGGTGGCTAGTTCCTTTTCCATCGAAGAATTAAATTGCATTGCTGCAATGCATGACTTTCTTGATGACAAACAATTTCAGCGGTAGGTGACCGGCTCTTCATAACTTCATCCTTGCCCTCATATGATTCAAAGGGGCCGTAAACAAGGGGGGGGGGGGGGGGGGGGGGGGGGGGCCCCCCCCCCCCGNGGGGGGGGGGGGGGGGGGGGGGGGGGAAGGATCACCTGCCCCGGGCGCTACCTAAGGAAGGGGGCGCCGAGAAGGGAGGGGAAAGGCGAATGAGGCACAGAAAAAATGAAAAGAAAAAATTTATTGCACAGTGAAAATATGGTCATAAAAATTTAGAATGGAGAAGTCTCTGTTAATACACAGAAATTAGTATCCCCGTGAAAGGATTTTTATACCCTTAACTGAATGAATAAATGGCTGCAAGAATCCTCAGATCCCGCAAGCTTGGGAAAAGGCACAATGTGTAATCAGATTCCGATCGATATTCACGCATGAACATGTTTAGACGAGCCTCGAAGACTCTTGATGAGCGCATTGTGCGGCCTCCAATTTTTCTTTTCCTTCAGCGAAACTCACTGTCTTAGCTATATTTTCTAATAAGATTGGCGCTAAAGCCTAAGCCATGCCATTTTCATAGAATACAAAGTGAGTACAGTATATGGAGGAAGTAGAACTAGGCTTTGAATAGAAATGAAGACCCTAGAGACGAATTGCCTTATCGTTGCCTGTCGCTAAATGGCATGCAGCGGCACCATTATTGCCTCTATTAATCAATAAGATACTCAATGATGAATAGATGCCGAAGTGTTAACCACTGACTTATTCGCCCTAAAGTTAGTTCTTGAGTGAGATTTCTCTTAAAATGTCGTCGGGTGCCCAATACCGGAAACGCTATAAGGCGCGAGAAGATCTAAAACGTTCAGCAGCATGCTTTAGACTGCAGTCACCAATTGAGTCTCAAGAATCTTGTGTCAGCTGCAGGAATGCAAGTCGTTGGTGGACAGAGACGATAGTGATGATAAAGACCTTGATCTGCAAGTAGCGAAAGAATTGCGCTATGAATCTACGACAAAGCAATGACGACTACGAGAAAGCAACCTCTCTCCAAAGGAATGTCAGAAGCAAGTGAGGAAAGCTTATTAACAGGGAAACTGCTGTTGGTCTAGACATGGACGTGGATGCAGGTGTCGACCCCAATGCTTCCGAACCGCCAAGTCCTTCCTCAGCAGTTATGAATGAGAAGAAATGCCAAGCAAGAAATGAAATTGGAACTAATCCCGCCGAACCGTCAGAATGGCCTGAAGAAATAGGGGATGATATAAGATGCTTCTTGGTTGAGCACGGACCAATACAAAATGAGGATGCTGACTTCTCTCACTCTGAGAGAGATGGTCGAACATTGACAAAAGGATGGTTCAAAAAAGAACTTCCAAATGGTGAATGCGTTCCAAGAAGCTAATGCACAGCGTGTCAAGGAATGCTCTCTGGTGTTTTCCTTGCATGATATTAGTATTTATGCATAAGACCCAAAAGGAAACGAGCAGGTTTGCAAATACCTCACTTGATTTCATAGATCGTAAAAAACTGCATCCAAAAATTCCTGACCATGAAAACAACAACATTTAGGGACTGTTTCTGCCGATGAAAAGAGCTCGAGCAAAGGCTTCTGAGAGGAGAAGCTATACGGTAGATGCTGAAGCGCAGAAAATGATTCAGACGGAAAGAAGTTTCTGGAGGCATGCACTCTCTGCTATGCTCGATGCTATCTTGTTTCTTGCTGAACACAACTTGGCTCCACCGATGACCTGGAGCAACATGGATGTGGAAATTTTCTTGGTCTCATCAAGCTGTTGTCGGATCAAACTTTCAGGCATTTACAGGCATTTCAAAACGTTTTCGACATAATTGGATATTTTTTAAATTACATTTTTAATTGCTTCACTTTTTGATGCTTTGGCATTTTCCAGCAAACCACTACTTCTTGAAGAGTCGATCGACACCTGGTTCACCTCTCTGTCGTGTACGGTTCTCTGGGAATAAGCGTGAAAAGTGCCCATTATATATGTAGAATTCTTGCCGGGGTCAGTTAATCTCATGCGAATGAATTAGCCATCCATTCCATGATCTCACTCTCCAATCACATGCCATTCCATCGCATGTGAAACATTCCTCTTGAAATTGCTCCCTCCATCACGCCACCTCGTGAAACCTCTAGAACACGAGACGAAATCCATGCCCCCGTCAGTTTTCCTTTCCAAAATAATCACGCCCGAGAGTGACAGAGAGACGTATTATACATGTATGTTGGGAATGGCATCTGGGCATAAGAACATGCCGTCACTTTTAATACGATGCTACACGTATTTGTGACCGTTATACCAAAAAGTTCTCTTCCACTGGTTCGATGCACCATATTCAGCCGTGACGAGTCGTTGCACACTATTTGCACACTACCCAACGTTTGACTGTTGAGTAGTGTGCGATTCTTTATGTGACTATTGTCGGCTGGCAACGAAGTAACACAGTGTACAGAGTGCCAGTTATATACCAGGAATACAGCAACGCATCGACATCAATTATTTTGTTTCGAACTGGGGAAAAGGGCATGAGAGACCTATTAAGTGTACGGGGGGTTCCACTTTAAATTGCTTTAATTTAAAAAATATATATCTCAGCACTTGTTCGACGCACAACCGTAAGCATAGTTCATTTTTTGCAATTTTTTTGCATGCAATTTTTTACATAATTTATCCTAGCTATTGCTGACTTTCACCCTCTCGATGCATCAAAAGTTATGGTTGGTTTTCTGAAGCGCCTTTTCCGCGCCTATTCGAATTGCGGTTTGCGTCTCAGTGCGACGTTGTGGCACCGTTTACCGAGTTCTTAGCCTAAAATTGCGCTTTTCTTGGCATAAACTTTTGGCGCGTCCCTTTCGGATGGAGCCGGTGGCGAAGAGGGATTCGTGCAGATCAAGGTTGAGTTACGACCCGGCGAAACGGCATGTGAGTCGCCGTTCTTGCGCATTGGCGATCGACTTTATTTCCTGGTATCCACAGATGAACCCGTTCTTGAACAGAGTGCGACGGAGCCACAAGAGGAGAGATCACAGGAAAAAGGCAAACCAAAAATGTATGGCCAGAGAAGCGCCAATTCTAGGTCAACACTTTTGTAAACGGTGCCACAACGTCGCACAAAGATGCAAGCCGCGATTCGAATAAGTGCTAGAACTTCAAATTTTTCATGAAATAAATATTAGAACGTTTTCTGTCTCATACAAAAAAAGGAGACCAATCTAGCATTCCCACAGTCGGTTTCATGATCCCTCAAACAGGACGCGTTTTTTTTTGTGTCGCTTGGTGGATATATATATCTGTTTGACCTACTTCCTCTTTTTCAGCGTAATAAGAATTGATTTACCGAAGACACTGCTCATGTTCAATGCATAGCTCATCATGCTCTTCACTCATATCCGAGCCTCACCTCAAACCATTTTTCTCAACATGTGTTAATGTCGATTTGATTTTAAACATATCCACAATACAGGCGTGAATGTTAATCTTATGCTAATGCATTATTTTCAAAACTCTCTTGCTAATAACCTGTCACGTGTGCCTCAACAATCTACTCGAACGTCAATATTGATGCGCAGGGGAACGAATAACATCGATATCATATTTTTCAATCAGCAATGATATCGATATCGTTTAGATTCAAATTTGTCATCGTTCATGGAATCTATGCATATGACGACCAGCACACGTCGGCATGATCGGATTTTGTCCTGAGAACACCTACCAAGGTTTAATAACCGAATTTCACCTTCGACAGCTCATTTGAAGCCTGACATTTTTTGCAGATGGTCCACTTATATTTAGTTGTTTTTTTTTATTATCTTTTTAGAGTTGACCTTTGACGTGAGCCGGACGACCTCATATATTATTTTTACACTAATTTCCCAATGCAGAAGGTCGTCCATTATTTATAGTTTTATCGCCGATAAGCAAGACAGTTCTGATTCGTCTCACGATCACAAGCGTCGAATATCCTCGTGGTCAAAGTGACGATGGTCGAAAGGACGTAAGGCGATCCGCGGGAGAAAAAAAAATCGAAGCGCATTCGATGGAATAGCAGACATTTTTGGAGCGAGATCGACACGCTTACCCTATCCTGTTTATTTCTACCGTCCTATTTCGCGTTGTTTCCATTTCTGGGACGATTCCTCCTTACTTGCTCCAGTAATCACTTCCAGTTTAGACACGAGTCACGACCACGGGGAACCGGTCTATCCCTAAGACGATTCTGAGATATATCATACGCCTGTCGTTCGGCTAACCCGCTCGGCCTCGACCTCCACGCAGAGGCTCGCAACGAGAAGGGCGACGGCGGAGAGGAGTGCGCGTTGTAGGCAGCGATGAGTCGCCGGTTCGCATTCTCGGAGTCCGGACGGAGAAGCATTCGGTCTTCCGTTAATGAGTATTTTCCTCTTCGTGTCTCCATCTCCGACTTATTGTGGATCGAACGGAACGGACGCGAAAGGGGCACGTTAGGATATATACGGCAGACACGGAGGAAAACGGAGACCCGTTCATCTCTTCCCGGCATTTTTTCAACTATTTGACGCATTCCACACTTTTCTCTCTTCCATTGCGAGTATTTCAAATTCTCCCGTTTCCCTTTCTGCCCTTCGAAAACTCACGACACTAAAATTTTTGCTGCTCGACAAAGATATATTGGAGATCCCATCCGAGGTTTGTTAACACAGCAGGACACAAACGACCCCCCAAAAGTGCTAATTGTCAACCCAATCTCATTTTGACTTACGAGTGACTAACTCCTTTTCTCGATCTACGGACCGAACATCGAGCCCCCCTCGGGGCTCATCTCTTTAACAGCCCCCTCTCGGTGATGAAAGATAACCTAAACACTTGGTGTCTACACAGGCTCTCGACTATTTGACACGATGTTGACGCAGTGCTAACGCGAAATGCTTATGTGTGCTGCCTGGAAGGTGTTCTCCGATCGAGTCGAGGCTCGTAACACTCCTGATGATATAGATGGTCATCTAATAAGAGTAATTATTGCAAAAAGCGAGATAGAAAAACTCGTAGAAAAACGTCGGGAAGTGAAGACACTTCTGCTGCGGCCTGCGCCAACCTTTATGCGTCTGTTCGGAAGATGAGACGGCCTTGCAAATGCAGAGAAAACGAAGATCGATGAGTTCCGCATTATCTGGGCTAGTAGGATTTTTGGAAAGACTTTCTGAATTGTTAGACACCATCCTGGGTCGTAGGACCTCGTCTTTATTTAATGCGAGGCTATGCCTCCTGAAATTCCGGCATTCCCCTCAAAGCAAACGATGAGCTCATATTAAATACGAGACGGAGACGAAGGCCAATTCGCTCGACGGCCTCTCTGCATCGTTCATACTTCTTGCGGGAGCAAACAATACAGCGACTGACGTAAGTAAGTCGAGATAAGAAGGGCAATTAACTTTTACGACGTGAGATGTACCCGAATCACTGACGTCCGACGCGTATTTCTCCCTCTGAAAATGTGTCATTGCGGGAAGATAGTCGAATGCCGTCAACGAGGCAGTCTGCGATCGGCTGCAAAATATCTTACGCCAGTCCTCTTTCAATTGAATTGCCCTGCTTCTGGGATTGATAAACGCGTTTGTGAGAACTGTTAGATTTTCAAACTGGAAGGCGTAAGCGAATATACTGTAGACTGATATAAAACAAGAAGCATAAAGAATACTCAATGTTAAGGATCATTTTTAACTGGTATGTGATTGAGTTTTCAGGATGAGCAAAAACCTGCTCGAGGAGCTCAATTTCTCGAGGAGGAACATTTCCTCAGCTGTTTCCAAAATCTTGCATATTCTCTTTCTTCTCGCCACCAACTCACGGTACGGAAGCAATGCAAACGATTCGACGAGTTTTCATTGGACTTCGCCGGCTCGGCTTAAATGTTTTCTCCGTTGTGAAGCTGCATGCTTCCGGAAGTTGCATGCAATCATGAGCATCGTCGCTTCGCGTTCCGTATTTGATCGATTTCGGTTTTACCAGTCGTCCTTTATCGCCGGGTGAAGTTTCGGGGGAAATTGGCTCCGCACTTTTCATAATGTGCTTGTCCCACGGATGATGGGCTGAATTAGGGTTTTTTATTAGCCAATATTTTAGTTTCAATTTCTGTGAACACGTAAATAATAAAAAAAAAAATCGATTCTGTAGATTCCTCCACATGAATACGACGAATGCCACATGTTGTCAGATTTTTTTCCGTTCCGGTGAATCTCCAGTGGACTGGAATCCAAGATTTTCATTTTTTCGTACCCGCCGCTTAGGAAAATTGCGAGGAGCTTCGTCCCTTGGATTTTTCTAACAAGAATGCGACGTGTATCTCCCGGGAATGACGGAACGAGGTTGAAAGAAAAACCAGATGCAGGGAGACAAGTCGTGCGGATCGGTCAATCGATTACAAATAATTCGAAGCGGAGAGGGTTAATCGCGAAAGGGACAGTTCCGCCCTACTGAGGCCAAAATGCTGAAACCTCCTTTGGTTAAAGATCCTTCGAGGATCCCTGGAGGAAGAAGAGCTCCCTGGCTTAAAAGGCCCTTTTCGACTTGTCTAAATGAGATTTCTGTGGACTCCATCTCGAGATCTTCGCAGACAGGGAGTAATAACGAGGTCGATTTCAGACGGGGAGGCTGCGGTGAGGAGTCGGCATTTGCTGTCGCAGGGCGAGAATTGCACCGACCCGGCAATCGAGGAATTCCCTGACGATTTCCTCAGCTTCTCTCAGAAGAGAAAAGGGGGAATCGTGATCCATTTTCTCATCGCCATCTACCTCTTCCTGGGCATCGCCATCGTTTGCGATGAATATTTCGTCCCGTCTCTCGATGTCATCTGCAACGGTAATCGTCGACGCGGTCTCGCGGGGATTCCCAGGTCGAAAATGACCCCGGTGTCGTCCCGATAGAACTGGGCATGTCGACGGACGTGGCGGGGGCGAGCTTCATGGCGGCGGGGACCTCCTCTCCCGAGCTCTTCACCAATCTGCTCGCGACGTTCATCACGGAGGGGGACGTGGGGCTGGCGACCATCGTCGGGAGTGCCGTCTTCAACATCCTCGGGGTCGTCACTCTGTGCGGGCTCTTTGCCGGCCTGGTTCGTCTTTCGACAAAACGCTCGTTCAAATGATACTCTGGAGTTTCAGAGGTGTTAATAAGTTGTATGTTGAACGTGGCATTCAAGTCATGCAAAGGGGAGGATCGATAAACGTAATGGACATTGTGACGGCTATGCATTTTCAAAGGTGTTGCGTGTGTCCATGCAGGTGATTCCCGTGGATTTCTGGCCCCTGAGTCGCGATTGTTTGGCCTATGGAGTTTCCGTCATCCTCCTCATCATCGTCATCAACGATGAAATCGTGACCTGGTGGGAAGCTCTCATGCTCTTCGCTGCCTACTTCATCTACGTCGTCGGCAAGTCCTTTCCCGATCCCTTTTTATTTTCATTCTTCTTCCATTCATTGAGCTACGATCCATTTCCACATCTGTCTGTTTCTTTTCTTCTCCAGTGATGGTTTACAATCCGTCCATTGAGGTTTGGGTGAAGAGAAAGACGTCGGAGTGGGGGTGGAAGGTGTCCATCCCACATCCGGAGGACGACCCAGAACGGGCAACACCCGCGTCTAATGGAGAGTCAGCAACACCCGTGTCCAACGGAGAACCAGCACCACCCGTGTCCAACGGAGAACCAGCACCAACATTGCCTAGTCTGGCTTCCAACTCCTCCATCGTATCGCGTTGCCAAACCTCATGATACTATTCGTGAAAACTGGGCTCGATTTGGCAGGTAATTCCTTGAAGGAGGAAGAAAATTCTGAATCCAGCGCCGTCTGCGGCGGATGGTGTCCACCGGGCCTCGAAGGAGGGAGCAACTTGTGGCGGATCTATTGGTTCATCACTTGGCCCTTCCGTTTCCCCATGTTCCTCACCATTCCCGACTGTAGGAGGAAAAGGTGGAGAAAGTTCTACCTTCCCGCTTTCTTCAGCTGCCTCATCTGGATCGGCGGACTCTCATATCTCGTCGTCTGGATGATCACGGTCATCGGTAGGAGTTCATCTCCCCCCCGTATGGATATTTTAAGACGGGTGAGAAGCAAAAACGGGCCTCTTGCGAGTTCATCTATTTGCTCCCGGTTCGCATATCGAAGGACTCCCCGTGCCTCGTGCACAGATCACGGCCTCTCCCATCTTATTCGCATTTCTGTCATCCGTGCGTTGTTAATGCATTCTGCTTCGCGTCGGCTTCTCTTTAGCTCTCTGCAGGTGGATAGAATCTTCGTATCGATTCTAAAGGCGCTCGTAGTATGCCATGGAGACATCCTTGAAATATATGAATATGGTTTTCTTGCCCTCTATCGATGAGGAGAATTGCTGGAACGAGAAGAACGTAGAAGATAATATTTAAGTGTTGCATAGGGAATACTTTTTTCTGTTGGAAGGGGCAGCAGAATGGGACAGTCTCCGAAACGGCTCAGAATGACTGTCATACTTTAGGGAAAATACTTTGAAAATATGGCAGCGTATCAATAGTAATTTCATCTATCCTTGTGGATACGGCGTATTAAATGATGGTATGAAAACAAAGGGATCATTGGAACTACTATTGGGTCGATTGGAAAGTTCTGGCCGTTTCAAGAACATTCCATACAATCGAGTTTTTAAAGAAGCAAAAAAGTTCATTCTACGAAGTAATCGCCATCACCGTCAATCACCTTCTGCCAACGATCAGGCAGATTCCTGATTTCATCCCTGTAGAACTGAGCTGGCTGTGAGTCGAAAAAATCAGTCAGCCAGTTTTTGACCTCGGCGTCATCAATGAATCTTTTCTGGCGAAGATATAGATTACAGTTCACTGTAAGAGGGAGAATCCCAGCTCACATCTGGCGAGGCATCGCTATTTTCATGCGGCCTTATATCAATAGAGCCATGGTGGAATCTCGTGATCGTGTACTGTATGGAATACGTGTTGAGGAGGGGATTCCCGGGAGGGAATCCCCACTTCGGGAATAAACTTGCAGCAAGAGTCCTCATCAACTCGAGCTTCCCTGAAAAGTGCCACTCTTCCACTCTTCCTTCCATTCTTGCCACTCTTCCACTCTTTCCACTTTTGTCCTAAACTTTCCATCTCACCTCCTCCTTATTCTCTCTGGAAAGTAAGAAAAGTGGAAACCTCACGACTACTCCAGGACTGTCGATTTCGTTATGGTCCCCCAAAATCGACGTATATGTCCATAGTTGATGATAGTGATTCAGGGCTGTTGGAAGGTAATTCTATCGCACTGCGATATCTTAATTGGATCTAATTTTGTAGCGTCATACGCACTAGATAGATCTTGAATTGAGCTGAGAGGATTTAGAGGCAATCGGCTTGTGATCATCCATGTGAGAGCTTCACTCAGTCGGCACTAAATGAGGGAGTATATCCACTTTCGCAAGCCCAATATTGAGAGTGGACTAAAGGGAGTTGATTCGTCTCCAGCTCCCCGTCTTGTCTCTTTCTCCTAAACGAAAGACAAGGCCACAAACTCATCAATTCAAGAATCTACTCAATCTTTGGATCCCTCCTACTCCAAACAACGTACTATCGACTAATACCAAAGTTGATCTGAGAGTATGAGATAAACAGAGCTGCGGGAGACGTTAGCAGTCGAGAAAGGGCGCACAGCTCTCAGTGGATATTTTGCTTCTCCATGCTAATTTGTGCTCATTTAACACTGGTTAGTTTGTCGGTATACTAAAAAAATTATTTTAATTTCATCTGCCTCATCGTAATAATGTGATGCTCATTACATGAATGTGTGCCAGTTGATGAAATCGCAGAGAGCAAAAAAATAATCCTTTCTCCGCTACAAAAAATTTGAAAGTCGCAGATCCATTCCCGAAAGAAAACGAAGAGCACCATATTGACGTCACCAACCGCCCCCGGCCGACCTACTGACAACGAGAAGATGAAGACTAAATTCTTATGAAAACTAAGCGACAGTCACCTCAGTATGCAGCTTGAAGGAGAATCGCTCCTTCGATGCACTTCAGACTATATCTGAAAACATGGCCCTTCTTTCGCCTTTGTGTCACTCGAACGAGGTGAGGCTAGGGATGTACATCGTCGTCCAACCCAGAGCGAAGTGTATTCCAGGGTTCCGTTCGTACTCAAGTCTCCATCTCGAATGCTCTCTTTAACCTTTGCGTCAGCGTCGTGATGGTCTGCAATAGCCGTCGATTAAAGTATTTTCACTCTCGGATCGCCAGGGGTGCAACATCGTTGACGATAACTCACGTGGGGACGTTCTTGCGGCAGACGGCGCCTTCGTTTTATTTCTGGTCATAAACTAAATTCCATATCGTGCGGGTGTGCGAGTGGGTCATGTATGTAAACGAAATTCCGGCGGCGATAGAATTGGTTGCGATGATATCGTGGCTGTGCCGGGGTTATATCTCGCTACAGATGCCATGATTTTGGTACCTGGTTATATGTTCAGGGTGTCACGATGCAGTTTCAAAAATTGTCCCTCCCTCTCTCTCCTTCTCTCTCTCTGAACTGAACAAAGGCAGGTGATTCCGAAATGACACTATGTTTTGTGAACATTATTCAAGTCTCAAAAATTGGGATACATGATGCAAAATAAAATAAAAATATAAGACCACGAAAATCGACGATTCAGAGGTCCGCTACAGATCTTGTTTCTTGTAACTCGTTTAAAATGTAAATTGCAGTGCGAGTTGTAGGATTTGTTTTGTACGGCCTTCTTTATTCTCGCTGCATCAAAATGGAACCTTCAACCGTTGAACCAATTTGTTTCCTCTTTCAACAACATTTTACAGCCGTTCTATCTGATGGATATCGTAAACCAGATTGTTTTTATGGCATTGTGATTCTTTTCTTTTTTCCTACGCTCTGCATCGAAGATACTAAGGTTAAAATTCCATTGGTTAAAGAAGAAGCCACACACCAGACACACCTGAATCACCTGACATATTTCCTTTATTGACCAGAGAGAGAGAGAGAGAAACGTTTTTGGAACCGTGTAGTAACTTCACGGACACCCTGCATAAGCATTGAGATCGCAGCCGTCCTTTGAGCAGAGCAATTAAACGGTGAACACCATTTTTGTAACAGAGAATGAAGAATTCTGCCTGTTTTTAACTTTTAGGACTTCTTTGAACACAGGCTCTGCGGAAGGCTTGCCGTTTTTTATATAACCGAGCTTCGTGAAACGAAATACAGTATTTCACACCCCACGTTCTCTTTGCAAACGAGTGCATTTAGTAGATAAACGTGACATGTGGTACATTAAATAAATTTCCCTTGTTTCATTTCTCAGGCCACACCATCGGCGTGCCTGACACCGTGATGGGTTTGACGTTCCTGGCTATTGGAACTAGCATCCCCGAAGTCGTCTCCAGTTTAATCGTTGCTCGACAAGGTAAGGAAAAACATAAGGACTTAAGAGGAGGGAGGAGGGAATGCTCGATTGTTTTTGAGAGACTAATCACGTCGGTACTGATCAAAACAACCTCTTGCCACTTAAAAAAAAAAAGAGAACTTATCTGCTCGTAAGACAATATTCAACATCGGCGAGATCAGATTCCAAAGAACCTTTGGCTTATCAAAGTGAAACTCGCTTACTTTTAATGAGAGCCCCCATTTCTGTAGGAAAGCGGGTTTGTCTTCAGTAAGCTACGGGTCAGCCAGAGTTCTAGGTCTAAGAGGTATGAATGCAACTCAGCTGACTTCGCGAACATTTTCTTGATATGTATGAGAATTATTCATTTCTCAGATTCCTTCCTCTCTCCTGATTCGGAATTTTTTTTTAAATTTTCGTCTGTGACACGACGACAGGACACGGGACGATGAGCGTAAGCAATGCAGTCGGGAGCAACACGTTCGACATCTTGGTCTGCTTGGGACTCCCCTGGTTGATCAAGAGTTCGTTCTTTCCCTCGAATCCGGGGACGAAATCCATCGACATCAAGTCCGAGGGAATCACGTACAGTACCATTGCCCTCCTTTCCACTCTCGTCCTGATGTATCTCGTGATGGTGCTGAATCGATTCGTCTTGAACCGACGAGTGGGTTTCTACTGCTGCCTTCTCTACATCCTCTTCCTCGTTTTCTCCCTCCTCTGGGAACTGAACGTGTTTGGAGTCGTGAACCTTCCTACGTGTCCCTCCTAGGCTTCATCCCCGATCCTAATGGTCGTTAATACTTCTTGCATCGGAAAGTCACTCCCCAACTTCAACTACTTGAAAATGTGCCTTTTTACAAATAAAAGTAATGGGAGGGATAAACCTTTCGTCGATTGAAGGTAGTCAAATGGAGAAGTTGCGCCTTCAATTGGCTTATTGGACAAGTGGGGTAAGGGCAGGCAAGAAGAACCAGTAGATAAAAGGAACCAGGCTCATTAATTCCTGGTTCCGACTCAAGGGGGAATGTTGCTTGCTATTGCGTGATACGCCATCACTTCATGTGCCAATTGCAGAGCGCGCAATTTGAAGACGCACGGTTGACAGACAATGAGGAGCAAAGGCATGATTTACAGACGTTTCCTTACGAGTGAAGCCCTTAAAGAAATTTCATTATAAAATGCATGTAATGGATTTTTTATATTCTTCTTTCACGTTGTCAGGTGAACATGGGTGTATATGCTAGGGGTGAAAGTTTGATTGCGTTGGTTCTTGAAATCTCCGCCAGAGGTCATGCATGTCGAAGGTCAGCGTTAGGTAAGAGGAACCGGGCAAAAAGAACCACTGGTTCTTCTCTTGTAACGAACAATGCATTGAACCATTAACTGAAGATTAGATTCAGCGCAAAGAATGTCAAGGTTGGGCCCACGAGAAATCCTCGGCTTATGAGGGCCGAGGAGATTACGTTTGTGATGACTGTCTTGTCAATGACCGAGCTCTCGAGTTGACCTCGTTTTTTTTCTCGTTCAATTCAAATTGATTAAACCACCCGTAAGCTGAACTCCCTAGTGGACCTTGCGGTATTTATTTCAATTTTTGTTGCTAAAACCGCACGCAAACTATTGCATTATCTCGAGAAGCAATAAAATTCCAAGTTATGCTTTGATTTCTGGGTTTGGTTCCTTTTGCCCACCCGGGTGGGCAAAAAGAACAATTCGCATGCCTTGCTTTCTCCCCTGATGACTCCGTCGTGAATACTATGATGGAATCCTGTCTGGTCATAGAGGTAGAGGGAGAGTTGCTCAATAGCCTAAAACAGAAACATTTGTTCTCTGCCGTTAGACCGGGTAGATATAATCATCGGCTCTTAAGCGGTTCCCCTTGCCCGCCCTTACCCCCACATGCTCAAAAAATGTTTTAATAGGTGCAAGTGTTGTTTATTTCCATTTTGGTGGAACGCTATAAATGTATGAGATAAAAAATTGCAGAGCTTTTTCTTTTGAGAGACGCATGGAACCAAGTGAAGGTAAACACATGACCAAACTTCTCAAACTTTCTTCGTGCTACACGTGCTGGAAGACTCACGTGCACTGGCGCGTCTGTATCCATTTCACACTTCCTTATATACATAGTGGACATATATGAGGAGATAAAGTGCTTCGTGAATTGAAATTCACAATTGTTGTTCAAGGAGTTGTGCAGCACGTTCCCATGAAAGGGTATGAAAGTCGGTTTGTACAAGAGAAAAATCTGGCTAGGAAAAACATGGAAGTATATCGGTATATCATTGGAGATGATAAAAAGTCTTCTATCGACTAAGATGCCTCTCTTTACCCAAACAAAAACCATGGCTCCATTACACGGCTCCGCTGGATATCAGGATATCAGATCTGCTACAGACTTTAATTCGAAAAAAATGCAAGAAATTAGAGGGCGCTAAAATCAGTAAAATTGCCAGGTCCCTTTCATTAAATACTAAATTATGACTTCATGATTCAAATATAAATTCGAATTATTTTGGAATATTTTGGCAGGAGCAACAGCTCAGCTTTACTTTCTGGCGAGAAAAGACCTTTTATCTTCGCGCAACACCCCAAGTAACACAATATATTCCAGCAACGTTTAGGAAATGTCTGAGTAGAGAGGTAAAGTATTTGGTACGAAAGGATGA